GTAAATTTCATTCTCCTTATTTTTATGGTTGATGAAGGGAGGCTTGAATTAAAGTACCTTGCCCCAAATACTATAGTTGGTTAATGCCAGAGCTAAGATTTAAATACAGAGCCTGCCTCCTGTGATTGAGATAAACAAAACATTTTTATTTTAAAAAGAAAGACCCAGAGAAGGGCATAATTCAACCATCACTTGGAAGTATATGACCCCACCACACAGAGATGATCATAGTTAACTTTGTGGCATGAATATTTATATAATTATTTGTTCTCCAGATGTTTAGCATAGTCCTGGGTATATCATAGGCACCCAGTGAATACTTGCATGGTGAAATATGTCCGTGGGACCGAGGGCCTTCCATACCAGGCTAATTTTTAATTTTTAAAATCTCCAATTAAAAAAAAATTTAATTTAACCATGCCAGGCTAATTTTTAATTTTTAAAATTTTTTTTTGCAAAGACAGAGTCTTGCTATGTTGCCCAGGCTAGTTTCCAACTCCTGGGTTCAAGAGATCTTCCCACCTTGGCCTTCCAAAGTGTTAGGATTACAGGCTTGAGCCCCTGCACCCAGCAATCCTCATTTTCTTTTTGTTGAGCATGACTAGTTGATTTCACATATGTTAAGTGTATGTATGATAAAGTTACACTGTACTCTGCTCTTTGGAGAGTTAAAATATGAAGCTTATTATCCTTAGACAATATAGTGGATAAAAATATAAAAAAGCTCAAGAAGGGTTTAAATCAATTCACAGATGTCAGCGTTATGGCTAGTTCTTAAGAGACAAATAACTTTACAAAATACTCCTCAGTGATGTCACTGTTAGAGAATACAGATGTACTTACCCCTCATTCCCACCGATCTCTGATACTACGTATGTGTGCACATTCCCTGTGATCTCCCCCAGACATTTATTATCTTTCTCCCATCCTTGTCCCTACTCACACCATTTTTCCCCACCATTATCACCACCCTACAGGTAATCCCTTTGTTGCTTAGGTATCTTTCCAGAGTTGCTTTATGCAAATACAAGCAAATAGGAAAAGATAACCTTATCTCTTCCCCCTTTCTTACAGAAAATGCGGCATGTTCTATTGTTTTGCACTTCGAGTTCTGTGTAACAAAGCATTCTGCAACTCTTTATCATTAAAAACTATCATTTTTCAACATTACTGCACCATATTCTGTTGTATAAATATAATTTATTTAACTAGTTCCTCTTTGGGTGGACACGTGAGTTTGCTTCCTCCATTCTTTCTCACAATTGTGAGCAATGCTACAAGAATAACCTTGTATGCACGTACTTTCTGACATGTACATATGTATCTTAAGACAAAGTCCCATGAAAGGGACAGCTGTCTCAAAGGATACCTTCATTTGAAATTTTGGTTAAGTAGTGCCGAATTCCCTTTCATAAATATTGTACCCTTTTGTACCACAAGCAACAAGGTATGAGAGTAATTGCTAACATTTCAGTTCTTAACGTCAAGTATAGAAATGTAGCTTCTAGGGATAATGGGTTCTATCAGCTTACTCCTCAGCACTCAAAGAAGTCCTATTTCTATAGAAGTCAACAACATACAAAGTACAGAATTGATGAGGATGGCATTCACCTACTCTTTTGAAGCTTTATGTAGGTTCAAACTAGGAAAATCTTATGAAAAATGTATAAGACAGCCTCTTTGTAACGCTTTTGCTGAGGCCTATCCCCATACTGGAATTCAAGTGTTCTGTCTCCCATGTGCATACCAGCATTGTAATAGGGTCCCTATTTTGACTAACACAGCAACATTAACTTCATTTGGAAGTGCCAGTAGCTGTCTGGCCCAGGGCAATGGCAAGGTAAGTAGCAGGCTTTGGAATTACACTTGTCTGGATTCCTGGCTCCCCTTACCCATGTGACTCTGGGTAACTCACTTGGCAGACTGGAGTCTGTTTTCTAGACGATTAAGATGGGTATACTAATCCTCATGCCTTTTTGGACTGCCATAAAATAAAAGGAATCATGTATGGGAGACTGTTTAGTACATAATAGTATTCAACACTAACTTCCCCTTTTGCCTTGCTGAAAATAGAGAACTGGGAAGAAAAACCTCAAAGGGCTTCTAAACATTTAAAATTTATGTCACAACTTCTGTATGTTAAAGCTTTCTTATTTCACTCATAGAAGAGGCTCTAAAATTTGATTTAGTATTGTCCTACATGTAACTCCAACATGCTTTGTTGTTTGGCTTCTCTGTCTATATTCAAGTGTAAATACAGGAGCCAAAGTTGTTAATTGGTTTAATAAAAAAAGCAGAGATTAAAAAATATTGTTAGAAAAAGCCACCACCGTTACCATACCAGCAGCAACCTCAACAGCAGTGGTGCTTAGCAGGCTTGGGGTAGGCACATAAATAGTTAGAGCCTCTTAGCATAAGGCCACTTCAAGGTCAAGTTGTCAAGAAAAGGTCAACCATCTGCCTGCTGTGCACAGAGCAAGCCAATGGGCAATGCATTTATTCCATTTCTCCCCCCAGTTTAACTAAAGTTTTGAGGTACCTCTGTAATAAAGCATTGATTTTTATGAAGATTTACATCATAAAATATAAAGCCCATTTTCTTTGGCACTTAAAGGTGAAATTTCAGTTATCTGGAAAACTAAGTCAAATAATTTTAATTTGCATTAATTTAATAAATATTTATTGAGTGCCCACTATGTGTTCGGCATTGTGCTAAGTGCTTGTTTACTTGGAACAAAAAATTGTCCCATAAATTCTAGGTAAAAATGTACCATCCAAAGCACAGTCCAGATTTATGTTAATTTTTCAGTGAGTCTTCATGAGAGGTTTATCATCATTGTAACTGATTTTAATTTTAGAGCATTCTGGGTTCTATAATGTATCCTTCTTCCAAAGAAAGTAGAGGGATAAAATTGTTGAAACAGCAAATGTGAAGTTGAAATCACTTGACAGTCTGAGAATCTTATATACCTACTTGAATCTTCAATTGTAATAAACACTTTTGACTCATAAGCTCATTTGTCAGCCTTATATAGTGAGTGTAATTTACTTAGCTAATTTCACTAGGAGATTACATTCTTTCAGGGCACAGAGAAATAGGAATCATGAATACGCCATTACTGCCTGCTTTTGTATCTCATTTCACAGCCTCATAGCTTAAATAAAGAAAATATATTTGAAAGCACAAATTAATTGTACCTATTTTCTAGAAGTATTTCAAAATGCTATCTTTTATTAGAGATACCAAATCTACTCAGTGACAGAATTTAAGTAGATACATATTGGCATTATGCAAACATAGTAACAACGGTGATAATCATAGCAGTTACTGTGTAGTGCTTACTGCCTATCAAGTATATCGAGATCCTTGAATGGATTACCACCTTTAATCTGCCCAGTAGATTAAAGGCACTGCTTTAATTTCAGAGAAGGCACTGTTATTATTCCCATTTTATATAATAAAGAAGGGGTAATTTTGCTCACATTATTCATGTTACTATTTTAGTGAAATTGGGGTCCTTACCTGGGCAATCCTACTCCATATTTATGCCCTGTAAGGTGTTACTCATTCAGATTCAGCAAAGAAACAGAGTCTCATCTATATGCAGAAATCATCTTTACCTGCTGGCCTTAAGTTTTACTACCATAGGAAGTAAGAGGCTTAAAACAGAATGTGAAATACACGGATAAAGTTCTAAGACTTGTTTCTAAAAGTTGATTTTGGAATCACTCCCCTCTTCACAATGTCTGGGGCTAAAAATTCACCATTATTACTTTCGCTATAGTCTTCAGAGATCTCACATTGCCATATATACTCATGAAAAGCTGTATCCTAAAATGTAGTACGCCCATCTACCCTGCCACTCCCCAAACTCTTAGGTGCCACACTATTCAACAGCATCAAAGTAACTACTGAAGTTGTCAAAGGTACTTTTCTTCCACTAGAACCTCCAGCCATACTAATATTACCTAATTTGTACTCTTAACATTCTAAAGACAGTTATTGGCAATATTAGAAGACTTTATTGAAGGGAGATGTAGACAGAATCAGAAAAATGAGTTCAAAAATCTAGGAAGGTCAATGAGAAAATTCAGGGATTTTTTTTTCCCCTTACTCTTTCCATAACTTCAAAACATTCATGTCATCTGATCAGGAACAACTGTAACCATGTAGCTTGCCCTATTTTGGCTATCGGGCTTCAAAAATACTTTAGCTGGGAGATCATTGTAATTCAAATCCATTCAGTGCTGCTTCACTTTTGTAATTTTGTTAGCTAAGTTTAAGTAGTGTACCCTGCACCTACTTTAATGATATAGCACATTGATAACGTTTTTCCTCATCTAAAGCCATGTTTACCCACAGAGCTTTAGCACCAAAAAAATTCTAAAAGGTACTCCTTACACATTTAAATAATCTGAATAAATAATCGATACAGGTTAAGCCCTGGCTAGTTCTGAGGTTTCCAAATTAAGATCACAGAATGTAAAAACCGCAGGTTAAAAAAAAAGGTTGGCAGAATATATTTCCATAGGGCAGAAAATACATTCAAGGTCGCAATATGCCCATTCATTCCTTACTCCAACATGTAAGACACAACCAGGCCGATTTCCAACTGAATTTTGCCTTAAGTTTTCTTAAGGGAATGACTGGAAACTTTATTACAAAAGATGGTAAAGTTGTCAGTGACAGGAAAGTCAGGAGGTCCACAGAGGTAAGAGGAGAGCTGTCTAAATGGAAGTGAGAATCAGTAAGTTGCTGGTGAAAATCTAACTGACTTAGGCAATTTTTAAAGACCCTCAAAATAAGGGAAGAATAAAAGAGAAACTTAAAAGAAAACAGAAACAGCCAGAGGTGAGACATAGACATTTTGATGGTGGTGGGGGCTGTCCAACTACACAATGAGGTCATCCCATCTCCCGGAAGTGACACGTAATCACCTGCTTTGCACTAGCTCCGCCCCTTCCCTCAAAGGTCCCGCCCCTCCACCAGCAGCCGGCAGAGTGTTAGGGGGCGTTTCTCCAGAAGGAAAGCTGTGAGCTGCGACGCTGAGGAAGGGGACCCCAAAACGTCTGGCACTGCCCCCTCCAGGGATCACTTTGGACCGCGTCACTCGGCCCAGCCGGATTCTGAAACGCCGAGGGGTCAACCTGATGGGTTTCGGGGTCAACGGAAGAGGGGAAGGGGAGCCCTGGCGGGGAGAACCCCCCGGTCCCCCGCCCAGCAGCTGAGGCACAGGAGGGCGGCCATCTTGGCCGGGAGGGTAGGGCTGGGGAGCTGCGGGCGCCGTGCGATTGGGGGGCTCGCCCGGAAGTGACGCCAACTACCCGGAAGCGGAGGGGGTTCCCTGGCCCACTCCCCCCTCGTTCGTTTGCTCCCCCGCTTCCTCCCCGCCCCCCTTCCTCTCCATTCGTTTCCCCCCCTCCCCGTTCCCTGCCTTCTTCCCCCCCCCGCCGTCCCTCCCCCCCAACCTCCGGAGCTGGGAAGAGAGTCAAGATGGCGGCGAAATCCGATGGCGGTGGCGTGGGGGTGGGCTTCGCTCAGCTGCACAACCTGGACGAGGCGGTGGGCAGCGGCGGCGAGGAGGACGGGGAGCCCGGGGGAGGCGGCTGCGGCGGCGGCGGCGACGGCAGCGAGCCCGGCGAGAGCAGCTCCCTGCACATCTGCCACTGCTGCAACACCTCCTCGTGCTACTGGGGCTGCCGCTCCGCCTGCCTGCGCTCCCTCCTGGGCAGGAAGCCGCGCCGCAGCGCCGCCGCCGACGGGGGGGACCAGCCGCTGCAGCCTCCCGCGGCCCCCGGCGCCGACCGCCAACCCCCGACGCCCTCGGCCGCGCGGCCGCAGCCGCCGCAGGCGGAGCGGCCGTGGCTCGACTGCCTGTGGATCGTGCTGGCGCTGCTCGTGTTCTTCGGGGACGTGGGCACCGACCTGTGGCTGGCCCTCGACTACTACCGCAAGGGGGACTACGGCTACTTCGGGCTGACCCTCTTCTTCGTGTTGGTGCCGTCGCTGCTGGTGCAGAGCCTGAGCTTCCGCTGGTTCGTGCAGGACTACACGGGCGGCGGGCTGGGCGCCGTGGAGGGGCTCAGCAGCCGGGGCCCCCCCATGATGGGGGCCGGCTACGGCCACGGCGCGGCGGTCTCGGCCACGCCGGGGGCGCAGCGCCTGTGCCGCCTCTCCGTGTGGATCTGGCAGTCGGTCATCCACCTGCTGCAGATGGGGCAGGTGTGGAGGTAAGAGCACTGCGGGGTGGGGGCGGGCCGGCCCTGTGGAGACCCCCAGTCCTCCCGGTGCCTCGCGGGGCGGCCTCTCGGACGGGCCCGGCGCGGGGGGTTCCAAGGAGGGACTGGCCGTGCGCCGCCCCTGGCGTCTCCAAAACACCAGCGTTTGATCTGGATCCCTGGCCACGCCTTTGGTCAGGGGAGGCCGAGTCCTGCCGTTGGCCTGTCCTCGTCCCCGCTTCGTACTTGGCGGGGCCCCTGCCCCGGTCCTCCCCGCCGCCTCTGCAGACCTCCGTTCCCGGGCGCCCCTTTCCCCTGCCTCCGGAGGTAACCAGCCGCGGTCGCCCTGGGCTGCACTCCGGCTCGCGGCCCGGTGGAGCCTTCCCTCCGCCAGCCTCTGCACTCTGGTTTTTTCCCGGGTGAGACATCCTCCCCTCTTCCCCCGTTCTCCCTCTGCAGTGGCCTGCGTGGGGCCCTGTGGAAAAACCCTCGCTGCCGCCTCCGAGCACTCCTGGATTCCACGCCCCTTCCTCCTCCTGCACTCCCAGCCCCTGCGAACGACTCTAAACCACTGCCCTCCCAGAAGGGAAAAAGACTTTTTTTTTTGGTGCGCTGGATTAGACGTGTCCTTTTCTTAGTGACAGGTAAAAATGGGATAAAATATGATGGGGCGAGCGTTTCGTGTTTACTCTCACCTCCAGAAAACCAAGTAGCCACCTGGATACCTGTTCTGGGGAAACAATGTTTTTGGTAGTCAGGCCAGTGTGTAGGTGATTTAAATTTACACAAGACCCAAGCTTGGCTTTGCTTCCCTTTACCCTTTCGTAAATTTCCCGTGTGCCAGTTCAGTCCCTCACAAATCACTTGCAGGTGCTCTTTCTGCCAGGAGCCTTTATTGACTGCCTCACTGGCTAAACTGAGGCAATGAACCCATTCTCACCTGGGTACATCTGTGCTCTCTTACTTAAATTAGCTTGTGTGTATTCTGGCAACAGTGAGTTGTAGGTGAGAGCGTTTACTGAAGATAAATTACACGGGGACAAGCTCTTCAAGTGCATGGCTTCTGTGAGAAGACATTTTGCCTAGACTGCCCTAACTCCTAGCCTAGTAAGAGATTTTAGGCACTTAGTAGTTGAAGTAACAGATATACCTATGTTAGCCGAAGTAAAGTATACTGTCTTTTCTATGATTTGTGCAGATCTCGATTCGGAATTTATTTAAATAAAAACGTTCCAGAAAGTATGGGGTTCAATTAAGTCAAATCACGAGAGTGGATGCAAGAACTTTATCCTGCAGTTTGCATGCAAATTCCCGCTAGGGGAAGTGAGGGTGGTTCTGTAGGCCCTGCACCACCCAGGGTTGTTTACTGGCCTTTGTGGGCTGAACCAAACAGCTTCTTCTCTAGCTGCATTTGTCTGCAGATAATTTGTTTCCTGCTGATAAGTTTATAAGAAGTGAGGGAAGAAAACAGGCAAAGTGCTGATTAACTTTTGGCTATTATGAGCATAGCTTGGGGTCAAATAAAATTCTGAAATACGTTTTAAATTTGAAATGTAAATCCCCAAACACCCACACCCCCAAGGTAATACGGAATCAAAGGTAGTGTGTTTGGTACTGGAGATACCTTTTTTTGGTGGGGGGTTTCTGGTTAAGATGCCAGGAATGAAGCGGCGGAGGGAAAAAAGTATGGGGAAGAGAGATTTTAACATACCAGTAGAAATTAGCAGCATGTATTGGTAGGCTTCTGCTGAACAAGCCGAAGTCAGCTATCTCCATGTGGCAAACTTCTAAGTGTGAGCTATAAAAATGTTGGTGTCAGGTTAAAATTCCTGTGATAACTCTTTCTAATGGAATCTGTCCTGGACATTTATTAGTAGTAGGCTTTGAGACAGAATGAAATTGGAGTAGAATAACCCGCCCCCCCTCCATTCACCTAAACCTTAATTGTATCTGGGCAAAGTGGAAGTCCAGATTTTAGAACAAACTGAAGAGTACACTTTAAATGTCAGTTTAGCTTTTGTAGTTGTGTGTAGGCTAGTATTTTTTTTTTTTCTGATCTTAACTTTCATCTGCAGTGATATAGATGTATTTTTAAAGTGCCTGTGACTTTACTGTCTAGTTTTTTCTTTTTTTTACTTTTTCAAGATTAGAGTATACGGCTAAATATTTTCTAAAGTTATTAAAAGACATGCTAATTTTGCTAAGTTCTTTCTTCTAACATAGCTGTACTTCAAAAGCAGCATTTACTGAGGAAGGAGTCTGTTTTTGAATTTTTTTTTTTCCAGTTAGCTGGTTTTGCTTGAAATACTCTAGGAGCAAGGTCTGCTGCTTTAATACCTGCTAGGCATGTTGTTTGCATTGAAATCATTCATGTGTAAAAACTTTAGAGGAATTCTTGTTTTAATCTTTTGGCAAACAATTGCTTGTCAGTGTGTATGAACGTACATCATCTCTGTTTTTGCTGCAGATCTTTTGGGGTTATAGTTGTTTCTGTAATCATTTTTGCTGTTGAAACTTTGCTGTTTCTTATGGTCACATGACATAAACGTTAAGATCTAGTATTTGTCATTTGGTTTGGGCTACATCTTTAAGAAAAGATATCAGTGAAGTTGTACATTGTCAAAACTGATTCCATTAAATCATGAATGCTTGTCTCTTCACATTTTTTAAAATGTAAAATTACTTGGTTATAGGTTGGACAAAGCACAACACCTATTTAATAAATTTAGGTTCCCTCGATATTAAGGTGGGACACTTCTGTGCATCTTGCCGTTGCTGTCAAGATGGCAAATACCTGATACGTTTTATCAAATGACTTTACAGAGTGTAAGAAAATATTTCTGGCTGGGCTGAAATTGGAGCATGGAAGAATGGTTGTCTGTAGCATTATGTGGTCTCATGAACCTGCTTTGCAGAGCAGTAGTGTGTGATTAAGGTCTTTTCATGCATGCCTTCCTCTCACTAATTTCTAAACATGTAACCTCTGTACAGCTTGATGTGCTTTCTTTCTCAGGTGTTTTTTGTGGGGATAACAGGCATATGAATCACTTATTCTAGGAGCATGAGTCACGTTGGACTTCACATTTGTACAATGTTGTAAATAGAGAGCATTTTCTTGGAGGGTTTGGCTTTAGGAACAGTGTGACTTAGTTTGCCTGTTGCATTGATGTATGCAGGTTTTCCCTTCAGCTATTGCCCTTTCTCTGCTTTTGTGTTACTTCTAGAGGTTGCTTAGTGCATTGTCAGTTCTCTTCAGTCAAGAAGCAACAGTGCTTTGACCAAAATGTCATGGCCACATCATTAATCTCCCATTTAATGAATTTAGTTTTATGTGTGTGTGTGCACTCGAATGTTTCAGAATAAAAGGAATTTACTTCTTTATACAGCTTGCCATATTTAAGGGGATGGTCAGTGGTTCTTTATCTTGTGAGATGGGATGTGGGAGAAGGTTGCCTTCAGGGGAATAAAAAGGAAGAGGCGTTTTGCATTTCATAATGGCACTGTCCAGCAGAGCAGTCCACAGTTCTGCTTTCAGCGTTGTTTTCTGATTCGAGACTGGTATAGTTTGGGTATGCAGCTCTCCACACAATCAGTAGTGAACTTGCTGGGCTGGTGAAGATGCTTTATTATTTTTTTGATCACTCGCCTGCCCTCCTCTGTGCTCACCTGTGTAGGGATACTTAGTCTATTATGGGTCTTTGTTCATGTGGAATATTTTATTTATTTATTTTTATTTATTTATTTATTTTTTTAGAATAAAGAAGAGGAAGAAAGAGAAAGAGGAAGAGGGAGAGAGGATGGGGGTATTGCTTCATTGCCCAGGCTAGAATGCAGTCTAGATATGGGTATGCCTATAATTGTCCTTAATAATGGAGACATGAAAGAAAATGAGGGAAGAGAAGTAACAAACAAGGAGCCAACCAAGATTTCATTTAAACTTCTAAATTGATATGATGTGGTACTGATAAGAGTGTATATTTTGTATATTTAAAGTGGAGAGTTCTATAGATGTTAATTACATTTACTTGTTCCAGATCTGAGTTCAAGACCTGAATATCGTTGTTAATTTTCTGTCTCATTGATCTGTCTAATATTAATGTTGAAGTCTCCCACTATTATTATGTGGGAGTCTAAGTCTCTTTATAAGTCCTGTATGTCTAGGTATTCCTGTATTGGGTGCGTATATATTTAGGATCTTTAGCTCTTCTTGTTGTTGCATTGATCCTTTTATCATTATATAATGTCTTTCTTTGCTTCTTTTGATCTTTGTTGCTTAATTGTAACTTCTGCTTTTTATTTATTTATTTTAGCTCTCTGTTGGTTGGTAAATCTTTCTCCATCCCTTGTTTAGAGTCTTTGTGTATCCTTGAATGTGAGATGGATCTGGATGCAGCATACTGATGGGTCTTAGTTTTTTATTCAAATTGCCTGTCTTTGGATTGGGGGATTTAGTCAATTTAAATTTAGAATTAATAATAATATATGTGAGTTTAATACTGTCATTAGCTGGCTATTTTGTCCATTAGTTGATGTAAATTCTTCATTATATTGATGCTCCTTTTGATAATTTTTTTTAGAAAGGCTGATACTGTTTGTTCCTTTCATATGTGTAGTGGTTCTTTCAGAAGCTCTTGCAAAGCAGGCCTGGTGGTGATGAAATCTCTGAGTGCTTGCTTATTCACATAAGAACTTTATTTTTCCTTCACATGTGAAGCTTAGCTTGGCTGGATGTGAAATTCTGGGTTGAAAGTTCTTTTCTTTAAGGATGTTGAATATTGGCCCCCACTCTCTTCTGGCTTGTAGGGTTTCTGCTGAGAGATCTGCTGTAAGTCTGATAGGCTTCCCTTTGTGGGTAACCCTGACCTTTCTCTCTGGCTGCCCTTAGTATTTTCTCCTTCATTTCAACCCTGGTGAATCTGACGATTATGTGCCTTGGAGTTGCTCTTCTTGAGGAATATCTCTGTGGTGTTCTCTGTATTACCTGGAGTTGAATATTATCCTGCCTTAACTAG